ATATATATATATATATATATATATATATATATATATATATATATATATATATATATATATATATATATATATATATATATATATATATATATATATAATAATTAGTAAATATAATTCATAATAAATTCATGTATACGTTACCTAATTGGTCACCTTCTACAGAAAAAAGCTCGAAGTTTAAGAGTATCTGATGATTTGGTCGAACCCTTATGAACCAGTTGCAAGTTTTGCTAGTTAGATTTCTTGCCGGACCATCATATTTATTCGGGAAATTCGGACTAGTTATTACACCATAATTTAAACTACTAATATTTGATCCACAATCTGTATAATATTTCAATAAGATTAGTATTACAAGCGACAAGTGTTTAATTTTTTAAATTAAAATTCTAATCTCTCAAATTATAGAAAAATAAAAATTGTTCTTTCATTTTTTTAATCTAAGTAATTAATTTTATAACTTCTGTGAAGAAATTGTTTAGTTGTAGTGCTGCATGGAATATTATAAATTTAACTTTTTTATTTATTTATGTATGTTCTTTTGCAAAAGGATGATAAAACCTATAATATATACCTCCAAAAATAGGTTTAGCAATCTCAAAAGTATAACGCGCCTTGAAGCCACTGTAGACAAGCTCAGAGTCAGAATGTAAAATTACTTTTAAACCAAGTGCACCAAGATTCGATTCTACGGGACCTGGTGCCGTTCCGCCACAATATCTTCCTATCAACTTCTCTGTATCGTCTCGATACATATTGTAAATTTCGAGCCAATCTTCCTGACAGAATTCGTGTCTACATATCAGATAATATCAATTTTCGTTATTGTATAATGCTAAAACATGATTACAATTTACTCACCCATAATGTCCAATTGTCACATTATCATTTTTCGTGCGAACCTTAAAGTGATCGAAAATCAGAGCAACTTGCTCGTTTGGTGTTGCCAGAAAGAAATATGTACAATTCGTGTCGCTTGGATAATTGCTAGGATATCGTGGTGAATTAAATTCGCCACGTTTGCGAGACGAACTGAGATAAGTGAAGCTACAACTGCCATCGGGTGCTGCAGTGCCCGGTATCTTATATTCTGTTTCAAAAACATACCTATGAACAATAATAACAAATTCATATTATATTCATAATATAGTAAACATTATATCAATAAAAACGATAAATATCTAGAAAAACGAAGATCCTTCCAATAACTTTGATTTTGACATATGTTATTACGGTCACTACCCTGAGTGACCTTAAGGAGGTTTTAAATGGCGATCACTGTTTCGTTAAAAAATTATTAACAAAAAAGTAAAGGATAAAGTGAAGAATTTATTTATTAATAAGTAACACACAATTAGTTATTTTCATAATATTATTATTAAATAAATGCATTATTAATCATGATATGATGAATAGGAAGCCATAATATTAAAAAATATATCAATACGTTCGAGAAATCTACGTGTGTTGCGTTATGTATACGTACTTTGGACAAAAACACAAATTCTCTGCTTTAAAAACAAAAATCATTTTCTTATATAAAATAAGAGATTAGTATTTTGAAGCAGTGAATTTATATTTTAAAACAGGAAATTTGTGTTTTAAGACAGAGAATTTGTGTTTTTTAAAACAAAAAATAGTTTGATATTTAAACTTCATATATTTTTTTTATATGGTGTTGTACCTTTCGGTGCAACAAGAAAAAAATTCAAGATTCGGTCCATTTGAAGAGTTGGAACCCATGAGGAACGTTGGTAGGAGTATGCGAAAAACTTGCAGTGACACTCACCATTCTTATAAATTCTCTTTCCCCGTTATTATAAACTATTTCTCTTAAAATAATTAAGTCTCCATAGATAATATATTACGTTTCCGCTCTCGCGTTAAATTATAATTTCAATTGCGGATCGAGACGTCAGAAATTTAGAAATGAACTTCCGCGGTCCGTGACTAGGAGACCTTTTTTATAAAACTTCACGGTGTCGCATTGATACGCGCTATGTCTCTCAATCGGACCATATATGGTAAAATACAGCGAGCGATCTTCGTTCGCATGCTATTCAAGAATTCATAAACTTGCATTTCCGGTGTAGCGCAGGCTCGTTGCTATGCCAAAATGCAAGACTTCGTGATAGCTCCATTTGAGTTACAACAATGGATTGAAATTTAAATCTAACATTTTTTTAAAATACACTGTAACTATAAAACGGTCTCGCTTTCCCGCGCGGAGAGCGGTCAGTTGGTTACCAGGAGGGGGAAGCGAGGACATTGGAGACAGAAATTCATTTGTTGGGGTTAGATGTGTATTGGAATAAAGAAACAATGATTTATTCACTTAACAGGACGATAGTGGATGATGCGTTGGAATGCACCGATCTTCGTGAATGGTTGTGGCCATGGACGGGCGAGACGGCGATCGGCGCGCGTATGATTTAGAATAGAAATGAGGTATTGCTTCGGCGGTCGGCGCGATGTCGTGCTTGCCGCGGATCTTTAAATCAACGGTGATGTTAAAGCGCTGTCGCGAGGGTGAAGTATTCGCGAGGGCGTTTGACTGTTTAGGTCGGAGAACAGGTGGGCCCGTTCCCTGCCGAGAGGGCTCGGCTGATGGGGGAGTGTACCCCTCGTCTGTCTCAGTGAGTGCCGAGTGAACTCGGCCAGCCGGGGAGGGCTCCAGCTGTGTGCGGAGAAAGAGGCGTCGGTGCCGAGTGTACTCGGCCGACCGGGGCGTACCCCGGTGCTCGGAAAGGAACAGTGGTATCGAAACTCCGATACCCGGCGGTGAAATCTCGGGAATGGCGGAGTCGAATCGAGCAGACTCGACGCGCTGGGGAGACTCCAGCAACTCTCGGCTTGCCGTGAGAGATTCGGAGATTCGGCTTCCGGCCAGGCCAAGCGAACTTGGCGCGTTAGGGAGGACCCTAACAAAACTCAGGCTTTCTAACAGGCTTCGGATACTCACTTCCTTAAGACGTGCTCTCGGAAAAGGAGCAAGGAACAGGAGAAAGAGATTTCCTATGGAGAGCGCTGCCTTTTTATACCCGAGATCGACCTCGGTATTTTGATCGAATCGGTCGGATTGGTCGATCTCGAGGGGTTAGCATCCCTCTCCCCAGGAGCGGAAAAAAGGATCGGATATAATTGGTTTTTTGGGATTATAATGAATAGGAGCGAGGGATGTTCAAGAGGAGGGAAGGAATTCGGAAGGTAACGGCGCGGTGCGGGGTTGGTCACGCACTTGTAGACGCAGTCGTGGTGCGGCGCGGGACGCATCCATGCTCGGTGGTACGGCGCGTGATGCGGCGCGAGGTGCGCTAGCGCTTGGCGGCGCGACGCGTAGTGTGGTGCGGGGGAATACCACAAAAATAGGTATATTTTCGTGGTATTCTTGCTTTGCTCCGACGCTTCAGAGTTCGCGAATTTACAGCGAGGGAGACATAAATGCCACTGCCGCACTCCGCCTGTTGTTCGGCGGTCCCCGATGGATGGATGATCAGGGGAAAATCGGAGGATGCGCTCCGTTACAACTATACACACGACTATGTTGTCATCCAAATTCCTATAAATTTAAAAAAATATGTTACAAATATATTACAAAAATATGTTACAAATATTTTATAATATATAATTTAATTAATTTATTAATTATGGTTAATAAAATTACCTCATGATTGTAACGGTGCGTCTCTGCTCGGTCGGAGTAAGCGGTGCGAAAGTGGGGACGTGGATCGGGAGTTCGGAAATGCTCGTCGAGTGCCGAGGTTCGGAAAAAAATTGACGCTCGGATTTAATTAGTAAAATAAAATAAATAATTTATTTTAAAAATGTTCGAAGCTAACTTGTACAAAAGATGTTTGTCTTTCGAAGCGCGACGTTGCTCGTATATGTTTCGTTATAATTTCGCAGCTTGGACGGATATCGAATGCGTACGCGTATACTCGCGGGATAGCGCGTAGGTCGGATACGTAGCGCGTTGCTAGGCAACCGGATCCGCGTGTTGCCAAACCCGCGAATGCACGGTTTGCTAAGCAATCGGACCCGCGTGTTGCTAAGCGCGCGAATGCATGGATTGCTAGGCAACCACAGACACTTTCACGACACGTGTTTTCGCTTGATACGGGAAAAGTCCGAAAACACTCCGACTAGAAGTGAAACGAGAATACTGAGAACACTCGGTATTCAGAACGAGAAAATTCTCGTGTCGTTTCAGATCAAAGTAATGGAATCGGATAGATCAGATGATCGGACAGGACTGGTCATTCTTTGTTGAATTTGTCGGGTTTATATATTCAATCTTTGTCTGCGTGTCAAAACGCTATTTGCTTAGCTGTTCTACAAAACAGCTGATCTGTCACGCCGTCGGCGCGTGACAGATCATCGGCGCGCGCGTGATGTCGTGCTCGGAGATGTTCGGACGGCCCCGGACGGTGTGGGCCGCATAGCGCGCGTTTAATATGCATTACATATGCTCCGTTACAAAATAAACAATATTATTAAAGTGATTCTCGGTGTTAAGAATGTGACATAATAAGACAAATGAGAATCAACGCTATTAATAGTGCGCAATTAACATTCTTTATTACAAAATATCAATATGTAATACTCCAGACTCAAGTTTGAGTCACCTTCAGTAGATATGAAAAAACAAAGATAAAATCCTGTATTCGATGAACTCAACGATAATAAAATCGTTGATTAATAATTATTGTGACCGTACATATTTATGTCATCTTTAAAAGAAACGAGATAATGATCACTAAGGAGCTGTCACTCATCAAATGAACACAGTTCACACTAAAACGGAAAAAGTATGAGCAGGAGTACTGCACAGCTCACACCGAGCAGTACATCGCACGGCACGTCTGCACGCCTTGAGCTCCAAGCAACTGAATGCAATGATTTTTAATTTTAACAACCTGCAATCAAGACAAAAACAAGATTACAACTTGCTCAGGACGAATGCGTGATGCAAAAATTCAATATCAGATTATGAATTTGGGCTATTATTTTGTCTTTTAATAAAATGCATTTCTGAAATCGTTTCTGTAAATTTCGTTCACAGTCTAATACTTTCACATTATTCCAATCAAATTCGTGATCGTAGTCTAATCTGTGCTCAGTAATAACTGAATGTGTACTTGTGATTCTGCGTATATCATTTTGATATTTATGCAGTCTTCTTTTTAATTATCTCATGGGTTGTCCGATATAGCACGCATCGCATTACAGCAGATCTTGTACACTACATTCTATAATGCACTAAACGCGTGCCGCGACAATACCAGCCGAACCGCCCGAAATCCACCGAATTTCTCCGACACCCGACGCGCGCGCGGCAGTGTGTCACGCCACCATGCGTGAGCTGTCAAAAATAGGAGATCATTGTAAAACATTGTCAAATAACATTTTGCCATGCAAAGAACAAACGAAGCTACCAGGTATATAAATCCGACAATTTTTTGATTCGACACCAGTCCCGTTCGATAATCCAACCTGAACCTATCCGACCAGTACGAGAGTTCTCGTCTTCGTCCAGGAATACTAAGCGTTCTCGCTATTCTCTTCAAAACGACGAGTTCTCGTTTTTCCCGACCAAATATCTGAGCGGATTTTTTTTCGGCACGAGGAGCGTTCTCGAATATTTTATCCACAACGAGTGTTTTCATTATATCATTCGAATACGAATGTTCTCAGTATTCTCTCTTCGACGAGCATTCTCGTCATCCTTCCCGAAAACGCGAAAACACGTGTTGCAAAAGCGTCCTTGGTTGCCTAGCAACGCGTTGCGTCATCGATTCACGCGCCATCCCGCGAATATACCGCATTCGATATCCGACCACTCTGCGAATCACTCAATGTTATGTTGAACTTATGCGAACGGCGTCACGCCATTGACGACAGGCGACTTTCAACGCTCTGCAATTTTCATTTCATTAAAATAAATTGTTATATATTTATTGTTAATTAAACTCTGGCATCACGATTCTTTTAAACTCGGCATCCAACTATCCCGACATCCAGTTATTTGAAACTCCCGATCCACGTTCCCGCTTCCACACCCGAGCTCTCGAGCAGAGACATACCGTTACAGCACAATGTTTAAATAT